GTGATACTAAAGAAACCTTAGTTGAGGAGTGGGACTTAATGAAAAACAGTATATAAAAACGGTTTTTGTGCGCAGTATTTGAGAATCTCTTTTCATTGCAGTATAACATTATTTTTCAAACTATAAAGTATAGTTACAGTAACTAGAATGCTCAGTCATTACTTCAACAGTTAAAAGGCTTTTTGGATACTTTGTTTTTACAGTTGCTAAAAACACTTTCCAAACAGTCCTAATTGCTATGGTAGAGTAAAAGAAAATACATTAAAAAAAGGAATATCTAACTGTGCATTTCATTTAAAATGCCCAAGCCCCTGTAAATGTTTTATGTCAATTTCATAAAGATGGATGTACTACCAGGTATACATAATTACTTGTCCACTGGTATAAAAGAATGCTATTTTCCCCTTGTATAGGGAGTTGTTCTTTGATGTTAAGTAATATTCCAAAGCAGATGGAAACTTTAACCGATATTATAAAATACCATTATGGTTTTCCTGACACAGTAATGTCCACTGAAATTTTTTAAAAAGTTAATTAGAAAAAAAGTCAAAATGAAGATACAATTGGTTGTTGTTAATTGTTTTGTGTTGTGGACAACACACTAAGGAAAAACCTCAGTGGATTATACCCTACTGATGACACCATTTACTTTGAAGGAGCTGAAGGTGGAACTCGTGAGGCAAAGAGGGAGATAATTGCCTCCCAACAATATGCAGTTATGTTTCCTTCATTTGGGCTGACAATGTAACTGCATTCAGAGCCTCTATGACCAACAGACATCAGCCAAATTTATTACAATAACTTTCAAAATTCTTATCTTACTGTGAATTGTAGAGTCAGAGTCTTAGTAAAAAGCCTGGAGATCATCTAATCCAACCTCTACCTGAAACAAAAACCTTCCTCACAACATCCAGGACAAAATGATCCCCTCTCTGCATGAATACCTCCAGTGAAAAAGTTTTCATTTGCTCTCAATGGATCTGAGCAGAAAGACTCAAAACAGTGGAATTCCTCCTAAGTATGTGCACACATGCACCAACAAAGTATCTTCCAAGGAATATTTTGCACGTACCAACAACTGTTGCTACATATCCCAATGAAACATCAAATGTTCTTCCACGCATGGGCAATGCTTGACAAATAGGAAGCTTCTCTAAGAAGCTCCTAGTCTCACTTCCCCTTCACCTTAAGTTTTTTTTCCTCCTTCTTTCTATTTTCTTGAAATTTCAGGTGCTCCAAGTCCTCTCATGCCTTAATGAAAGTCTCTGAGATGAGTCACATACACCAGTGTGAATATATCACCTTCTTAAGTGTATTTTTCATTTTAAGCCATTTTTCTATATCGTGCGGAAGGGTTTTATTCTTAATTAGGGAATTCTAAAAGTATAAGCAGGTAGGTGGAAGTGGAATTGTGGAGGGTCACCCCTTGGAAACTTGAGGTAAGCACCATGAAAGCGGGGCCTGCTTTGGTTTGGTCTGTGTATCCCAAAGCATCTACCACAATTCCTGGGATAAAGCAGGAATTGAATTGACTTGAAAACTTACCAAGCCAACTCAACCCACCAATGATTAAAGACGCTGGCCCCATTTCCAAGGTCTTGAGGAACAAACTGAGTAAAAAATATGTTATTCAACATTATGGATTTGGGGGAAAAAAACAACTACAGCAGGGAGTAACCTTGCTTTGATGGGCAAAGTCAAAAAGAAGTCTACGATCCGCTGCTATTCAGAGTATCCAAAAGTGCTATAGCATCTTATTTGGTGCAACTAAATGAGGGAGTACAGGACAATTGACTAGGATGAATGGTAAAAGTTGGGCAAACGGCATTCTTCCTAAAGTAAGAAGCTTGACTACACTTTCTGTCACCTAGTTACTGACAAGTGAAAAAAATAAGCACACAAGTCCTTTAGCTAGAAAGAGTAAAAATATTTTTAGTAAACTATCCTGCCACTGGATAGGCCATAATACGAGTCCACATGTTCTGCTGGGTTTGAATCATTCATAACGAGTGGTTTAAAATGAAGAGACAGACATATGGATACTAATCCTGACCTACATCTAGCATTCTATTATTTGGGGAGGAATAAATTAACCACTCATGAAAGTTCCATCCAACAGACATGGTCACCAGATATCCCTGGAACCATGAAGTTAAAAGACTTGGGAGTTTGCAGGGCATGTGTATTTTTTTCACAAGGAAGACAAAATTTATGCAAAATACCATACTTCGACATTTTATAATTAATTTCCAGATGCTCCAGCTATACATATTTTAATAATTTCTGATTTATAAGATGGTATCTATAATAAAATTTTCTATTTTTCAATAAATGAAAAGAAGGCAGTTTCAATCCAACAACAGAATGTCACACAATATAGGCCTGTCAGGCACCAATTTTTACTTCTAACATGTAAGTTAAAGGATAAGGAATTTATAATGCTGCCTGTGAAGGAAACCACTTTTCATATACAAATGTGATCTTTTTTTTTTTCAAAGGGTAATACAACAGTACATTTACATAAACTAATCCAAACAATCTATGTATTTGACAATGGCAAACCTCACACAGACTGCCTATTGTTGGTTTACATCTTGGAGTTCTTTATGTTGGCTTGTAACACTGCTCTGGCTGTCAAAGGCTTTACTTGGACTCTAAATAAATGGTTATAGAAGTGCTGTGCAGCGATATTGGACTTCTTTGCAAAAGAAAACCTGCTGTGTATGAATTCAAAAGCTATTAATTTTTCAGTCAAAAATATTCGTGCCTATTTCTTTTAATAAAGAAACACTGTGCTGAGCAACTGAGAGATAATGTTGACTAGTGGTACAGAATTTTCAATAGAGCAGTTAAAAATAAATTTAGTAGGAGGTCCCCATCAAAGCTATAATTTTCTAGAATGTAAAACATTTTTTTTTAATACCAATCAAGACAAACCTTCTTTCCCTGTTCATTTTTTTTTTCAGCTGCCATTCCCTGTTTATTGGCGGCTTACCACTAGTCTTCATGGCGACACCAACTGGTATTTTTGTAGCCGATTTCATTAAAGTAGGCTTGCATATGGTGCTGCCTGCCAATACTCTGAACTGATCACTAGTTGAGCAATACGTGACTCTTTGCAATTACTTCTCCTTAGTTTTTAAATCCCTCTTCCTAAGGGGGCGCTGATGCTTGCAAAGCCCCCTGTGCCTAATGTTTGGAGACCCAAGCATTATTCTACCGTTGTTACTTTTAATCCACCTGGAAAGATAGAAGCTAAACCTTCTTTTCTCCTCCATATTGCTAGGTCTACATACACAGGCCCATCGCAGAAGGAAACATTCACCTGCAGGCTAGAATGATTTGAAGATTTTCAGATAGTTTCCTGGCAAGAAGTTTCCTTTGTGACTGGTTGAACTCATTTGACAAAAGGTCACCCAAGTAATTTCAGGGGTTTAATGAATTTCCTTCACTGGGTTCATGTTATTCCCAGGTCCCTTCCTAAAAGAAGAAGTTATGCGACCAATGGAGTTGACTCTGGATTCTACAGTTCTGTCAAGTTGGGGAGCTGTTTTCTAGGAGCCTACGCATCACTTTTGCAGCCATTTGTTATAGAGCACATGGAAATGGAGAATTCTTTTCTAGTAAAAATGGATGTGCGGAGTGTTTAATGATTTTATGTTCTATATCTCTGTAATGTGTTCTGTTTCAGACATTAATTTTGTCTGCCAACTGTATCTTGGCAGGCTACCATATTTGCTGGGTTAATAGTCTGACTCCGTTTTATTTCTATCACCATAAATCATACATATATGGGTGTGTGTTTGCTTTATTTATAGAAAAAAATCAGTCAAAACAGATAAACCAATACTTTGCCATTATGCTGCATCATTGCATATTGATTAAAATTGCTAGTACTAACTATAGATTGTCAACGCTCAATTAATTTTCACACAGTGACTCAAGGCAAAAATCAAATAAAGGCAGTGTACCTTTAAATCTGACAAATCTTAAAATCAAGAACCAAAGCACTCTCTCCATTTTGAATAATCAGTTAAAACTACTAGGAAATCTTAAAGAAATATACAAATTTGGGAAGCACAACCATTAAAGTAACAATGTGCAACATGAGAAGAGGCCCAAGAAAGAAACTTTCCTTAAGTTAATGTCATTCAGGATTCAGGTCAACTATGCTCAGAAAACAATGGGCATTTATTTAATACTATCTGCTTCTACATGAAAGCCAATCACTCTGAAGTCCCTTTCAGCCTACTTGCCTTGAATAGACTGTCCCCTATATCTGGAATGAATTCCCTTTCTCACCTCCTACTTTTAGAATCAACAGTTTTCAATGAGACTCGGGTCAAATGCTGCATCCTACACAAGATGAATTAAGGCCCCCAGATGCTAGGATGCTCTGCCCACTCCAGAAATGGTCTTGCAATCTCAGAGAATCATAGCTGGAAATAGCAAGAGACCTTGGAATCCACTGAATCTGACCCTCATTTTAAAGCTGAAGAAGTTAAGGCTGGGACAAGTTAAGCAATTTGCCCAAGGCCAAACAGTCAGATTTGGGACTGGAACCCAGGCGCTTGGACTTGAAAGTCAGTACCCTTCCCACTGTTCTATGATGCTTTATTTGTATATGTTTTGTACTTAATTATGAAAAGTAAGTAAATATGCTTACTTTACTGTCTTTCTCTCCCTCCTCCCCACAGAAGATTTATATTTGTCTTTGCATCCTTAGCACCTAACTCAGTGCCTGGAGACATAGTAGAATACTAAAAAGCCTGTTGAATGAATGAAAAAAAAAAAAGTCTTCATGGGGGGGGGAGGGTGAGAAATAATGAATTCCTTAAAATCTACCTGAGTTACATCTACTAGCCTATGTCACGTGATTACAGAGAGGCAAATTCTTTCTTTCTTTGACATTTCTCTGAAGTGGAACATGTTACTTCTTGGGCAGAGAGGAGACCACAAAGGGAGGTTTTGCAGTTACCATCCCCCATACTGGTACTTACAGGCTGAGGGGTGGCTTTGGGTTCAGTTGACTTCACATGGAGGTGGGTCATCATCGCTTGTAGGCGCTCTTTGTCTTTTGCAAGCTAGAGGGAGGGGAGACAAGGAATGCTGTTATTTTTATGAATAAAATACATTACAACTTTAACATCCCAAATGATGCTTATTTCTAATTAAACTGTTGGCACCACAGCACATGACCAAAAAATATTTATTGCTTAATTGTTTTGAAATCTATACGCCTATTGCCAAACTAAAACTAATTTGTGATGCCCAGTGTATTTCTCAATACAAAATGCATTAGGCTCTTAACCATGGAGCTAGACCTGCTGGCACCAACGGGTTCATTGTAGCTCTGACAGCTAGAAGACAACAGTGAATCATGTCTATTAACCAATCCTGCTCAGGGAAAAGCCAAGGGAAAATGAGTTATGCAGCTAAATCCCATAAAGTCTTTGTTGCAACAGTGAAACACAGACACCCAGACAAATGAACAGAGTTTATGCAAAATTAACCTGCAATTTGTTGCACACACCCTAAAACTGTGCTGGAGTACTAGGATATTCATAGAGTGTGAGGGCAAATATTTTCTGCTCTAAGAAACCACACTACGACTAACAACGGTGCCTAGAATGTCAGGTCTCCCTTTGGAACAAAGTTGGAAGGAGCTCCTTTTGTCAAAATTCCGAGCCCCTCATAGACTTTCATCTAGTCAGGATGTAATTTTCTCCTAAAAGAAAAGGAATTCTTCAGCTCTCTGCAAATAGTAGGAGCTCACTAAATATTTGTTGAATGATTTCCCCCTCTCTGCCCAAAAACGGGCCTTAGGGGCAGATCTGCTCCTAACTGATTTTGATAGGCCAAGAAAAAATCTGGCAAAAGGCTCAGGGGAAAATGTTAAGGCACCTTTTTGCAAGAGAGAAAGTAAAAGTACTTGAAAGAAGATGAAAAGGGAATAACTGAGGAAAAGGTAAGGCGCAGGCTTGAACCCACTGAGCCATCCCTACAAAGATGGTGAAAAGAAGGACAAGTTACTGATTTATTTTGAAAAGGGAAGTCTCATTCATTCTACTGCTTCTTGGTCTATGAGTGGAAGAAATGCTTCAAGGCCAGATGGGGCCTCAGTCTTTGGACAATGGATTTTTGTCCTGTTATATAATTAATCCTAAAATCATTTAAAATCAATTAAGAATGAGATTTTTAAATTAAATTGTTCTTTTAAGATGGGTCCAGAAGCAAAAGGGAGTGGAAGACGGTTTTATCTTATTTTATCCTAACTGGTTGGCCCATTCCAATCATATCACATTAGATTTTTTTTTCCCCCCTTGTAGTTCAGGGAGAAATAAAAAAGCCTTAGAGCCTTAGCATTTATCTTTCAACAAACAGGAAATGAAAATGTTACCATATTAGGAACAACTTTATGTCACTCATGCTCTGTTCTCTAGCAAGTTATTGAACAGCCAAACGAAAAGATGTTCACAATACATAATACTAAAGGAATGTGAGGTTTCCAACAGTGATTCAGCGAGAACAATTAAAATGTCAGGAATGAAGGTCTTTCTGCAGGAGTATTTTGTTTTATATGTAGATTTGGGACATGTTTCAAAATAGCTAGGTTTACTTAAACCTACATATTGGTTGTTAAGTGGGAAATACTGAGGCACAGAAATACTTCTTAAAATTGAGTTTATCTACAATACTGAAAAAAAACTTTTCTTTAAAAAATGAAGACTGTTAAAAAACAAACAAGCAAAACTAGAAGGGGATAAGGATAGGGCCTAGATCTATGATTTCATTGTTATAGGGAGTCTTATTTGAGGAACGTCTCTCTGTCAATGGAGCTCAAACCCCTTTTGTGTAACTGACAGTCTTAGAGAGTTGTCTAGGGCAATAAGAGATAAAGTGACTGATCAAGCAAAGGTCACACAGCCAGTACATACCTGAGGGAAGACTTGAATCTGGGCCTTCCTGGCTTCAAGGCCAGGTCTTTATCTGTCACATAATACTACCTCTCTTATATTTACTAGAGATGATCCCAAATTTTATGTCAAAATCTGGGCTTATTAGGAGGATTGAACGTATATGTTAACTGATAAAAGTCCCTGGCTTTCCTCAAGTTCCAGCTAAAATCCCAACTTCTGGAAGAAATCTTTCCCAGTCCCCCTTGAAGTTAGGGCCATCCCTCTGACATTACCTCCAAATTATCCTGTAAACATCTTATTTGGACATAATTGTTTGTATGTTGTCTCTCCCATTAGATTGTGAACCCCCTGAAGGCAGGGACTACTTTTGCCTTTCTCTGTATCCACAGTGCCTGGCATACAGTAAGTGCTTAATAAAAGCTTTCTGACTTGATAATACGTTGAATCCTTTCAGTAGATTGTAAGTACCTTGCAGACAGGGACCATTTTTCATTTTGGCTTTATATCCCCAGTACAAATGGTATGCACTTAAGCAAATGTTTAAGTAACACTTCAAATTCTGATTGAAGTTGGATCACATTAGCCTTGGAGTCATGGCTGAAAAGTGATGCGACTAGGCTAAGTGAAAACGTATTGCTATCTTTTAGGTCCATATTCAAAACCAAAGCTGTAATTAGGTAGGTGACTGGGTCTGTTCCAGGATGGAAAATTCAGAGGGTACAAACTCCACTGGTTTGAAGGGGCTTCCTACTCTGTCCATTCTTATTAGGGTGGAAAGTGGCAAGAAATAGAAGGGACCTCATACTGGGAATTACTTACCTTTCTTTTGCAGCATCCCCAGTGAGCTTACACTGCAAGTCTCGATGCCATTCTAACCAACCATTGCCCCAGATATAGAAATTGCTAGACAGTTCTATTAATATTCCTATACCTTTATCATAGGGAACGGATTCCCTCGGTTGGCCTTCCCTAGCAATTCTTCATTTCAGTGCTTTCCCTTTCTTCTTTCCTATTTATTTTGCATGTAGTTTCCTTTAGATATAGCTGTTTGCATGTTGTCTCCCCCATTAGATGGTAAGCTCCTTGACAGCAGAGGCTGTCTTTTGCCTCTTTCTGTATCCCTAGTACTTAGCACAGTACCTGGCACAAGGTGGGTACTTAACAAACGGTTAATGAACTGAAATGGAATTGGATTGTTCCATGTGCAGATTGTTTCACACCTCTTCCATTATATTTCAGTCATTTAATTGGCCCATATCTCTTCTGGGCAAGAGAAAAAAGTGCAACACATTAATGGATACTCTTAATGCCTGGGAGCTCTTTTTTTGGGGGGGGGGTTAAAATATTTCATAAAGTTCCTTTAAATGAAAGTTACTTTGCAATCTTGGAGTTTGTTCCCGAATTTTAATTATCATTGCCATCCTTATCTCTTATGCTTTACAAGTTCTAAAGGATAAACCAGTACAGCATAGTGGGAAGAACACTGGAGCAAGGGTCAAAGGACCAAAGTATAAGGCCCAAGCCAATCACTTAATGGTAATTTGGAGCTATGAACTTGGCATCTCAGAGCCTTCCTTTTTCATCTGTAGAATGGGAATGATACATGCATTTGTGACCTGTCTCAAGAACTTGTCACAGAGAAAGTGTGCTCTGTAAATGAAAGTACTTGAAAATGGAATCTACTCTTTTTTGCTATATTACAAGGCTCCACTGTTACATTAGTTATTGATTGTTGGCAATAATATTATTAAATGCACACTACTGGTATAAGCTCCACCCATGCTATCAGTACTGCAACTTGTCCCTACATGTACATACACACACACACACACACACACACACACACACACACACACACACAC